TATATATATATATATATATATTTACACTTCTCATTATAAATAAAAAATAGTTCATATTTCTTCATCCCGTCCCATGTTGTCTGGGTGTGACACTCCCATTGAATAAAAGTATGAAAGTAAGATAGTAAACAACCGGAGAATCTATAGAGAACATGCCATCTTTAAGAATAATTTATAGATAAATCGATAAAAAAAGGGACAAAAGCCCCAAATAAATAGCAGTGCAAAAAACTTACCACATACTTCCACGATACTTGAGCGTATAAGGTCCGCTCTCCAAAGACCGGTCAAAATGGCTATGCACCTTGTGCTTCCCCTTCCCACTCTGATCCACAAGCGTAAGCTCGAAAAGAGCCCTAACATCCGTCCCCTCGCTCGCAAGCGCGATGAAGACGGACACATAGGTCGAATTATCCTCCGGATTCTTGCCGTCCGGGTAAAAATAGACCGCCCACTGGTATCCCCCCACCGTGAAGGTGTCACTCGCGATGTGCTTCCCGATCCCCATGCCCTTCGCCAGGGAGTAACCCTGGATCACAAACTTGTGCGATCCATTCACAGTTTCCGTCACCGAACGCGAGCTCGTCGGGGAGATAGAGAGGTCCCTCTCCGGTGGCAGAATGATCTCCGGCATCATCTGCGTAGGAACTCGCTTCTCATCAAAGAATCGGATACTCCCAGCGAAAACCTAGGCCGACAAGGCGGGAAAGAAGGATTAGAAGCGGAATCTCACGGAATTTATCAATAATTGGTGGTAAAACTTAGATTTCTCGGTGGGGATAGAACCCTATGGGGGGAGATCTGGAGTTTGGGCTCTCTCTCTCTCTCCCTCGCTCTTTCCCTCCCTACTCTCTATAGCTCTTCTCTGATTCGTTTAGAAAATGGAACAATAGATAATAAAGAAGGAAACGGAGGAAAGCTGAAATTTTGATATTTTGATATTTTTAAACCCGAAATTTGCTTTGTTTTGTTTTTGTTTTAATATATGAGAGAAGTTGAAATTTATATTTTTAGTTTTGCTAAAACACGTTCCCTTTCTTATTTTAAAAATTTAAATCCTTCAATTCCACTCAAATGGGAAAGTAAATTTGACTTAATATCCATTTCAACAAATATGACAATTATATTTTTATTTGAAAAAATATCTCTCAAAATATTTTTCAGATGAAAATACTTTTTTAATTGTATTATGTATAATCCCTTATGTTGACATACACATTTAGAGCTCGTTTGGTTGGATTGTTTATGTAGAATGGAGTTTTAGAAATAAATGTTGATAAAAAGCAGTTTAGAAAATTGGAGTTTCAATAATGAGATGTTGTTTGAGTAATATTTTTTTAAGTGCTTGTTGGGTCCTGGAGTATTCGCGGCGGCGGAGAAATATATAATTTAACGTTTTAGCATTATACGAAGATCCAGCACACAAGCAGATAAGAGAGAGAGTGTAACATTCATAAGAGACACCCTAGTTTTTACGTGGAATCCCCCTGAAAAGGGGAAAAACCACGGGGTCTGGCCTAGTTTGAATGAATCCACTAGTATTTGCAGTCAATTACAAATGAGGCCCTTCCTTAGGAGAATGTCTTAGCTTGATGTCACAAATGTACATCATATAAAGCGCATTACATGGTGGAAACTACAATATAAACATGTTTGTTTGGTCGGCATGACCATAGTCGATATGATGGAGGCCGGAAAGACCGTTGTCTGGTGATGGAGGTCGGAAGGACTGTAGTAGGTGATGCAGGTCAGAAAGGACCGTACTCGGCAGGAGACAGGGGTTTGAAAGATTGTAGTTGGTAGGAGACTAGGGTCTGAAAGACCATTGTAGTAGGGCGGTACTCTGGTAGAACTCTAGACGTCAGGTGGTGGCCAGCAGAAGTCCAGGCCTGTGGTGTCCTAGTGGAGCACAGGGCCTCAATTGGCGGTTCAGCGGAAGTCTGAGCCTTAGTGGTGGCCTGGTGAAGCGCATGGCCTCAAGCGGCGATCCGGTGGAAGTCTGGGCCTCAGGTGGTGGTCCGGTGGAGTAACAACGTCAAGCGTTGGTCCGACGGAGGTGAGGGACTCAAGTGGTTGTCCGGCGGAGCAACGGCGTCAGGCGATGGTCCGGTGGTGGTTAGGGTTTCAAGTGGTGGTCCGGAGGAGCAACGGCGTCAGGCGGTGGTCTGGTGGAGGTGAGGGCATCAAGTGGTGGTCTGGCTGAGCAACGGCATCAGGCGGTGGTCCGACGGGGGCCTCAAGTGGTGGTCTGGCAAAAGTCCGGGCCACAGGTGGTAGCCTGGTGGAGCACAAGGCCTCAAGTGGTGGTCCGACAGAGCAACAACGTCAGGCGATGGTCCATCGAAGGTGAGGGCCTCAAGTGGTGGTTCGACGGAGCAACGGTGTCAGGTGGTGGTTCGGCGGAGGTGAGGACCTCAAGTGTTGGTCCGGCAAAGGTGAGGGCCTCGGGTGGTGGTCTGACGAAGGTCTGGCGGTGGTCCGGCGAAACTTCGGCGATGGTCCGGCGAAACTTTGGCGGTGGTCGAGGAGAAGCTTATTCCTTCTCTTCTCTTCTTCTCTTCATGCTTTCATCCCTTTTCAAGATAAATGAGGGGTCTATTTATAGATTTCTGGAGTGGCATGGCCCATAAATAGGTGAGAGATCAAGGGTAAATATGGAGTGGTTGGATGAACGGCCGATATTGAATCCCTTAATCATGGACCTTTTGTCAGACATTTGGAGGTCTTAATGATTTCGGAATTTGAAGATCTTTGGCTCGTTGGATTCGTCTTGTCAAGCCGCTTGATTTTACTATAAGCTTGTCAAGTTCGGATACCGTTTGGTAATCCAAATTGTGGGTCGAACCTTCCAACAGCGCTTCGGGTCCTTGATTTGGACTCCGATTGAGTTGAATTTGGTGTAGTTGGGTTCGTATTTCCGAGACGCTCAGTTTTACTATAAGTTTGCTGAAATCGGAGTTCAGGTGATCCCAGATTTAATTTTTGAAGTTTTCGGCTTGATTTTTGTCTCGAGATTCGTGTCCGATCAAGATAATTTACTGATAACATATCAGTGCTAATTAAAATCTAATGGCAGATCTAAATTGTTTGTTTAGTAGTTCAATTTTAACAATGTTATTATGAAAGACAAAATTACCTATCTCTTAAATTTAAGTATAAGTAATTAATTTTTTTAAAAGTTAAGTTTACATAAATATGTATATATATGACATTCTAAAAAAATTTTATTTATAAGTAATTTATAATATCAAATGTTTACATTATTAATTTATAATATCTTAACATATGGCATAATACTTAATACACGTATGATTAAATTTAAATTATATTAATTTTTTTGTTATGATTTTTAGTATGAAATAAAACCATTATTATGCTTATGAGAGTAGGCAAATCAAGTTATTATTGTCAACAAATTCAATAAGAATTTACTCCACAATACAGAAACGTGAAGTTTCAAAAATTGATTGTAGAATATATCACCAAATTCCAAAGTATCTGATGCTCTGAGCTAAGAACTAAGGCAATTATGGAAGATTCAACAAGTTTTTTTAATATGCATTTACTTACAGCTTGACGGAGATCTCTTCAGAAAAATAGAGGGTAGAAAGCTTCCAAAACAATAGAAAAATGAACAACAACAACAACAACAACAACATCAAGCCTTTATCCCACTACGTGGGGTCGGCTACATGAATCCTTTTTCTCCATTGTGTCCTATTAAAAGTCAAATTCTCGTTTAAATCTAAAAAAGAAAGGTCATTCCTAATATTTTCTAACCAAGTCTTTTTAGGTCTACCCCTACCTTTCTTAACATAAGTCAAATCTAATACCTCTACTCTCCTAACCGGGTCATCGCAAGGCCGCCGTTTTATGTGACCAAACCATCTAAGGCGACTTTCTCTAATCTTATCTTCTACTGGAGCTACTCCAACCTTTTCACGTATATGCTCATTTCGTATCCTATCTCTAAGGGTAAAGCCACTCATCCACCTAAGCATCCTCATCTCTGCCACACTTAACTTAGTATTATGCTTCTCTTTTAAAGGCCAACATTCGGTACCATAAAGCATTGCAGGCCTCACTACCATCTTATAGAATTTTCCCTTAAGTTTGAGAAAAATGAAGTTCTATAAAAATAAATTTCCCATAAGTATTACATAGAAACAATAATTAAAAATAACTTTTGACATTTTGAAACAACAAACATTGTATTTACGCTGAATCAAACTAGCCCTTAAGGATTTGTAATGCTCGAACTTTTTGCTCCAAGTATCTTCTCTGCATGTCTCATAGCTCATTTGATCTCTCTTGTCAAGCTTATAGTCAAAGTGATCATTTTTTAACATTCATCTAGTTTTCATATTCCAAGATAAATTTTAATGGTTTCTTAATTCAAATTAGAAACCATTTTGCTAACCCTTCTAACATCAACAATCCTTCTATGTTACAATTGGAAGGAAATGGAAGAAGATGGGTTCAATGGCTATGTTCAAACAAGAGATTCTAATAGTAAGTTAGAATTCTATGTTCAAAATAAACTTCAAATAATGGCATGAGATTCATAAGATTCAAACATTTGTATTATATGTTTGAATCTTCTTCAAAAATAATTCGAACATTAAATTTTGATTTGAAATAGATGTAAGAAACTTAGCACGAACCATATTCAAAACTTATATTTTGAGGTTCTTTAAATCAACAGTTCGAAACTATGATTGAAATTAGGTTGAAAAAATGTTAGAACCAAATTCAAATAAAGTTCGAATAAGACTAGAACTTGTACTATTATGTTTAAAAAAATTTCTTATTCAAACTTATATTTCGACTATAGCTACCCAACAAAAGAATTATATTCAAATAAGGTTCACATCATATTTGAACTATGCTTTAATATAGTTTAATATAGTTTGAGACAGCCCTATTTGAAATTCATTTAAACTTTGTTCAAATCTTTTTTTAGCTATGATAAAACTTCATGTTTTATCATTTTTTTTTAGAATAAAGATAAAAATTTGAGTTTAAATGAGGTTTGAGTCTAAGGTTCCAACCTAATTTTTTTCTTATTAACTCATATGAAATTGATTCATTTGATTTATTTTGGCACATAAACAAATGTCCATACTTAGTATTCTTATAGAGGGGCATACAAATACAAATTAAGAGGTGATGAGAAAATTATCAGGCTCTTTGAAGCACACTATCTTTCCAAGAGGGCTAAGAAAAGTCCCTTCAAAGAGCTTCATTCTTCTTGTTTTTGGTGCCCTAATCCATCAACTTTTTATAAGGAAGGTTGAAAATGAAAAAAAAAAAATGAGGGTTACTCAAGTGTACATAAACTTTCAAATTTTTGCATTTGCTTCAATCATTGGATCAAAATTTGGTGAATTTTCCTCTAAGGAGAAATTAAAGAAGATCACCATGAAAATAAGACTATTTGATAATTACTTAGATGGTAACAATAACTTCAAGTATGTTGATCTTGAAAATGTCTCCATTAAGTACATAGTTAAAGATGTATGAAGCTAAATTTATGCTTTATTGTGGATGGATTGCTCCTATATCAAGAGAGGAATAGTAAAGTGTTTATTGAGATGCTAATAATGGTTGAGGAAGATGTATAATTTTTGTATATCCATGACTAAGGATACCATGAGAGATGACCATTGAAGGGGCAATACAAGGACATGTTAAACATTGATGTTCTAAAAGGTGGAGATGAAGGTGGGAAAGAAAATCACAGCCCATCATACTACTGGTGGATTTGATTTCTCATTATAGTACTTGGCTTATTGAGCCATTTCAAAGTGAGAGAAGAGTTATGTTGAATTCCTTAGAGATAATTTCTTGAGAAGATGAGCTAAAAGAGGAAATAATTGCTCAGTAATAAAAA